AATTTTAAAGTTAGACATACTTACACGTCCATAACATTTATTCATTCACGAAGTTTTATATATATATATATATATATATATATATGTATGTATGCATACACACTACTAACTCTAGACAAACTGATTGTCCATAAACTGTTTCACTTTAAAGCATGCAAGCCATGAATTGTGCCTGGGCATCATCGAGTAAAGTCTCTTCTTTATACTATTCGCACGTTTCTTATATTTAACTTCAAGCATTTCATTAGAACGTTACTTAGTTTACTTCAATCTTGGGTTATTATGGTCACTAAAACATGCTAAACTACGCCTTATCTATTTCTTTTGTAATCTAAGCTTTGTTTTTTCTTCTTTTTTTTTTTTTTTTGTTCTACTGCATAACTCTTAAAGGAAACTTTATTATATTTTCACCATTAAAAAAAAAAAAAAAAAAAAAAAAAAGAAGAAAAGAAGGAAGAAAAGAGGAGATTTTTTTCTTTAATTTATTTCTTTGCCTTTGCCTTTGCCTCTGCTTCTGTCTCTTTCTTTCCCGGTTTTCTATTTGCATCTCTATCTTGTTTGTTGTCAGTTCCTTTCAAAACTGCATAGCGTAAAATACATTCTTTAGACAAATACGCGCAATTCTTATGCATTGCATGCTTGGTTTATATGCCTTCAAGCTACAAATTTACTTCAGTTATACTTTTAATCTTCACTAAGATATTAGGTGGCAAAAACAGTTGCCATGTTAACATAATTGCGGTGCATTATAAGTGACGTTACAGAGACGTTAGCAATTATCCCTTCGATCTGATAGTTATATCCTATGAAAGATACTCATATAGCATTTATTAAACTTGGAAACTTGGAAACTGAGCCTATTTCACAATAAACTTAAAGACAAAAAGAAAGTTTGTAAGCAACTTCAATGAGATGAAGGATTGGAGCATTTAGTTGTAATAAAAGTCTTCCGGTCTCCCGCTCATTGGGAAGATATCACCGAAATAATCAGCAGGATTGTTCTCACAAGCGATCATACTTGCAACCTTACTATATTTCGAAGCGGGTATAGCCGACGTATGATTTTTATAAACCCGACTCTTCAAAAAACCCCCAAAGAAAATAATCCAATAGAATTAAATGGAATTATCTGGATCGAAGAACATCGATTTCAATTCCACAACGTCTGCTACGCCACGCTCTTGCGCTCGCTCGAATCTGATAAAAGTGGACATCGTTTTCATAAAAAGTGGAATATTCAAAAGACTTCTTGCATTAAAATCTTATAATATGTTCACATTCACAGACCTATGTTATTAGTTTTATTTCTTCATTCTTAGCATCTAGAAATATTCGCTAAAGCTTGCAACTAAAACTAAAGGTGCAAATTCTTTGTCCAACATATATTTTATAAGGTACAGTAAGTCGAATGAAATTCATCCAACTAATATCCAAGGCCTCATCATAGTCCACGATGCAGCGTCTGCTTTATAAACTCACACACTCTACATGTACATTAAATAGTATTTTTGTTTCAGTTTATATATAACATTGAATACACCTTGCCGGATCTTCCGGTTTAAACATTTGTTCCCATGAACTTTGCAAAACTGCAAATTAGTTTACAATTTCCTTTACCTACGTAAATCATGTTTGCAACTGGGCAGCATTTGTGTAAATCCAGACGAACCAAAAAAAAAAAGAAAAATTAAAAAATAATTTTCAATAACTAATCAGATACCTATCCACCTCTAGCCATGCGCCAGCCCAAGACTAAATAGGAAAAGAATTGCCTAGCGAGAGCTCACAAGTCTTCATTGGAAAAATCGAAATAAGAAATCTTCTACATGATAATGATATCCCCAATGGAATTGCAAATCGCTTATATCAAAAATCCTTCGATTTGCTTCGGTTGCTTCTCACAAGAATTGTCGCAACGCGGATAATGTCAAATCTTATTGATTTGTTTAACCCTTTAAGACTTAATTGGAATTCCTACGAATGTAACATCGCCTCCATCCATCTAAGTCTTTAATCTTAAGTATTGCTTAATTCAGGTGAATCCATATTGTGTACATGATTGCGCCATGTATACGAAGAAATGAAATCTAAAGGACGTAATAAGTTTGCTTTATTTTCCAATTTTCCGAAAACAAACCATTACTTACCTAAATATTTGTATTCGATTTTAAATTCTTGCATAAAGTTAAAAAAAAAACTCCGTCACATATGCAAAGACTTTTTACTCCGTATTGAGATGAGGGACAGAAGAATGTATATCATAGGATGCACGAATGCTTATCGAAATATTACAATTGATTATTCCTTGCATGAGGATTAAAGTTAAAAAAATGTAAAAAAAAAAAAGACGAGAAGAAGAGAAAGTAAAGTAAAATAGTAACACATACAAACACATACGCACATATAAACGGGCAAATACATATATATATATATATATATATATATATATATATATCACAAAACAAGCAATTTTTCTTTACCGATGTAAAATTATAATCAGCGTTATTTATCGTAGCAATATGTGGCATCGAATATCGAGCGAATATATTTTATTGTTGTAAAAATATGCATATCATGCATAGTAATAAAGTTTACAAATTTTTTTTTTTTTTTTTTTTTTACTATTAATATTATTTTTGCACTAAAATGCTCGTCTATATGCAAACACTGGGAATGAACGAGTGAATGTTCTTACGTATGTATACGAAAATTATTACACATGGCTACACTTTTATAGTTGCAATGATAGCAATAAGGAATGTCATCAAGCGAAATGTAATGGGAATTTTCAATTGCAGGCTTTGTTTGTTAGTGTGTGTGTGTGCATATGTGTATTATACCGATAGACTAATTAGCTAAGATGTTGGTCAATTGCTGTTTGAACGTTTGGCTGGCTATAAACGGATTACTCTTTTACTCGAACATTTTGCATCGAGTACGTACGTCCACCACTTTATACCTTAGCAAGTAAACAAGTACAATTTGCAACAGCATAGAAGATTATGCCTGTATGTTATGGCAGTCGCTTTACACACACACACACAAACACACACACACACACACACACACAGCACACACACACATATAAAACAGAGCTCTATTTCTTTTCGACCCGCAGTGATACTTAAAAGCAATCATTTTTGAATTATATTTGAAACCAAGCATTCGAAATTTCAAAGGACAAATGAAACGATTTTAACATGGACATCAACAAGGAGCAAAGAGAACAAGGAAAGAAAACACCAAACAACATTTCACTAAACTGTACTTGAAGATAGTAAAAAAATGTAAATTGTGACATGTCCGGGACATCATCACTTTTATCAGAATGCAAGCCAACAACTTTGTCTAGTTTTTAACGATCCTTGAATCATGTCATTCTTCTCTGAGTTTCTGTCATTTTCCAAAAAGTAACCTACCGAAAATCTTATCATACACTTTTACTTACTGACAATCGGGCCTCTTTCTACGTTCGCAATATACTTGATTGTCTAAAAAGTGCTTAGACTTTTGCTCACATATGTATATTTTAATCTCGTAAATTTAAGAGACAATGTGTGTATATCTTATTTGCCATATGGCATTTAGAATTAGGAGGTATAGAAGAAAGACTTGAAATTATCTTTGTAAAATATGTCTACCTCAAGTTAGGTCAGTTCTCTATCAATCTGCCGTAGATATTATAATTCTAATAGAACGAAAGAGACACAAGTACTGCTGTTGCTTGTTCTAGAAAAATTGTGTGAAAATCGGTTCGCAGCGAGTAACGAGATTGCGAAAATGGATGATCAACAGCAAGCATGCAATCATGACCTAACTCTGCCTTGCTTTAATCTCTTAGCAACGATCAGCTACGAAGGAAGCTCGACATTCGCTTGCAGATGGATACCTCACAGTCACGATAGGCGAAAAAGTTTATGGGCGTAAGCCGTAGAAGCTGTGCAAATAATAAAACCGAACCGGAAAGTTTGAGTGCCATTAAGCACTATCTAAATCCAACTAAATGTAGAATATATAGAAGTTCTCGGAAGCCATAGCGTTGACAATGACAAAAGCAAAACAAGTTTTGCTGTTGTCCACCGATTCATCAAAAATTAGTCGTGAAGGCAGATACATAGATATATCGAAATAGATATTGCTTGACTGTCATTTAGTTACATTCGAGCGCGATTCTCGTTGAATACTAGTCGATTAACCTTGAAAGAGGCCGTTGAAAATGAAGACTCAAAATTCTTTTAGAGAAATACTTCGCCAGACTGTAAAAAATCAACAACACAGGGATAGAGAAGAAAGCTATCGCCTGAGAGGTTCCAATAGTGAAGGCTAGGAAAAATTTTTCGAAAAAAATTTCTTCAAGATGAGCCAGTCTCAACGTAATGTAACTTAATCTTCTAAGTCTATGGTGATAATAATTTTCTGTTTAAATTTCAACCTAAAGTTGAAATCGTAGTTTAATCTTTATGTGCGCGCGTCTCAATTGAAATTCTAAAGAGTTAGTATATGCGGTAATTTGTTTTTTTTCATCTTTTGGCATTGTTTCAATCCACAATTGGATATGCACACGTATTTTGTGTGCAAGAGCAAATATTATTTATTCAGATGTATGGGTGTATATAAGTTGTTTGTTATTCTTATACTCAATTTTCATTTTCTGCATTTCATTTACGTTTATTTACAGAATATAAAAAATAAAAATAAAAATAAAAGAAAAATTTGCTGCTGCTACTGCTGCAGCAGCTGCAGTCAGCTTACAGTCTATTTCTCTCTATGTACTAAAAACAAACAAAAATGAAAAAATAAGAAAAATTAGAGAAAAAAAAAACAAAAAAAAAAGTAGTAAAACTTCTATGCATACGTGCACTCATACTCATGCATATTTCTTAATAAACAACTGTCAATTTACATTTGTTGTCTGTACAGTATATCATCACTTCGGTTGTGACTAAGTGTGTGTGTGTGACTATGAATTTATATTCTGTTATGGTTGACTTTAATTTTAGTTCCGCTTACCTCCGTTCAAGGCGTTCTGGGACGTCAAGCTATGCTGCCGTGTGATATTACACCAATGGAACGTGACGATGCGGTCTATATGGTATTGTGGTTTCGGGAAGGTGATGGTGAACCCATTTATAAGTAAGTTTAAATTTTTACTTCCTTTTTCACCTTTTTTTTTATTCATTGGATTTAATTTGACTTTTTTCTATATTCATTTTATATAAGGTAGCGTACTACTGTAGTAGTGTTTCTTATGTTATCAATGTGTATTGTGTGTGTGTGTGTGCGTGTGCGTGTGTGTGTGTCATGATTTCCTTCAAGCGACACATCGACTTATTTTTTTAAAAAAAAAAAAAAACAAAAACAAAAAAAACTGAAACATTGAGATGTTACTGGTAGTGGAATCAGTTTCTCTCCTTCTCTCTCTACTTCTTTTAAATTGCAATCAAGGCAAATAAAAGAAGTAAGCAAATCAATTGTAAACAGGCTTTCAAAAGAATACATGAGGAGCCTTTTTATACAGCCGCACGGTTTCATTTTGCTCTAAAGGACATTCCAGACATTTAGTCCATAAAATATATGTCCTCTTGACTTAAGATGAGATCTTATATCCATCTAACTATATCTGTCCCTATTGTTCACGTTCACTTAGACTTGATCGAGACATCGAGTTTAAGAACCTTGATATCCATGCCCACAAAAGAAAAACCGATTAATGTATAACACATAGCACTTTTTAGTCCACGGCGGGAAAAAGACATTCATGGAGAGCATCTAACATTGCAGCAAACCAATTAGTGAAGCCTCCCGTGAAGCCGTACAAACTCATGCATAAGCAATAAAAATTTCAATTTACACCAATAACGGGTAGAACTTGGTTGAAGTATTTTTTAGATCTGGGTAAATGATCAGTGCAGAAGTCATTGCAATCGATCAATCCACCTGTGCACATTTACTAAATATTTTTTATATCCTGCACCACCTGATGTACAAGGGTATATTAAGTTTGTATGGATGTGTGCAACATCCAAAAGGATTGGAAGAAGATCAATCTTTTATTATACCGATCGATGAAGAATTACTCCCTGAATCGCTATACAAAATGTGTATGTGTGTATATATTTCATTCGGAATCAACTCAAGCACATTCGGATGTTGGTACATGTTCCGCCCCATAGTGCACTATAAACTAAAAACAAATTTGTTGTTGTGGAACTTTTCACTCTTTACTTATAATCAAGCATCAAAATTTCCAAGCATATTCTACAAATGATCCTCCAGTACCCGAACACAAATCCACACACAATCGAATACATACATACATTAAGTATTTTAGAATATCGAAATTCAACTTTTTTCTCGTCTTAAAAAAAAAAAAAAAATCCTTAAGGTGACCGAATATTCTAGAGATTCGTTCACTGCCGCAATATAATATTCGTACATGTTATTTATTATATATCCTTATTTTTAATAGCTTTGACGTGCGGGGGAGACAATTTGGCCAAGCTAGATTATGGTCGTCACCGTTAGCCTTTGGGCCCAGAGCTTACTTTAGCAGTACATCGCATCCTGCCCAGTTAAAAATCGATACCATACGCATCGAAGACGAAGGTGTATACAGATGTCGTGTGGATTTTCGCAATTCGCCAACAAGAAATTTAAAAATCAATTTAACTGTAATAGGTAAGCAATTTTATTTAATATGTTACTATAATAAAAGAATATTATCGTTACATTGCTTATGTAACTCATGCAGGCACTATGCGATCTTTAAACCACTTATTCTAATAGTGACAATACATATCTGTTTGAGAATAGAACAAATAATGTCATCAATAATGATAAAAATAGGAAGCTGCATGAATGCATACATGCTTGCATGCTTGCTTGCTTGCTTGCTTGCATGCATGCATGCATGCGTACATACATAAGACATTAACCTGCATTGTATCGTATAGTCGTATAGTTCATGTGCAATACTTTATTGAAAACTTTAATAAAAGCGCACAAAGTCTTGTTTTTTTTTTTATAGGTTTAACCTCTTTAAGGGTTGCGTAAGTACGTACCCATATATATATATATATATATATATACACAACAGATGAATATATGAAACAAATTGACAAAGTAATCAAAGGTAGCAAGAGAAAACTGAATACGTGCATGTTGTTGGTTGTGTTGTTTGTTGTATTAATATTGGTAACTTCAACGTCTGTACATGACAACGCTACAACAACAAAATATATCCAATTCACATCTTCTACTACATATTATAGAAAAACAAACAAGCAAAAAAAAAAAAGAAGGCAAAAAAGCAAAAACAAAAAATAAAAAATAAAAAAAAAATTTTATAAGAGAAATGAAATGAACAAAATCTACAAAACAGGCGACGTAGGTAGTAGAAAAAAGAAATGCAATGCAATGCAAAAAAAAATAAAAAATCAAAAAAGAAAAAGGAACAAAAAAAAAAAAAACGGAAATGCAAAAAGCAAAAAAAAAAAAAAAAAAAAAAAAAAAAAAAAAAGCAGAAAGCAAAAAACAAAAACGACAACCGAGAGCGTACGCGAATTGGAAAGCGTTGAATTGGCAAAAGTAATTCAAAAGTTTTATTGCAACGTCGAGCAATCGAGTTATTGTGCGTTGGTTGGTTGATTGTGTATGCAAAGCAATTGCTGGAATATAAACAATCTACATATGTATGCATAATACCGATATGTATATGCTTGACTGTGCCTATGGGTGTATATGCATGTATGCATGCTTGCATGTGTGTGCGCATATATGTAGGTTACATATAACAATACAATACCATAAAGGCAAGCCAACAATACTGGCGGAATATATGCGAAGTTATGCATTTTTAGTGTGTGTTTACTGAGAGAACACACATCGCGCATACACGCACATTTATATATATATATATATATATATATGATGATGATATATATACCACCATTTTGTTTTACTTTGCACAAGTAATAAATTCCAATATTTTGCGGAATTGTCTGCGATATGTGATATGTTCAAGTAAACTCATACATAGCGCACATAAAGTCAAATTGCAAAGATAAACTCTTGTATACCGCAAGCAGTGTTTCTTAACTAGTTTTTTATTCTGCAATAAATATTGCAGCTAATCTTTCGAAATTTACCAAGCAAAACAAAGGCTTTTCATTTGCGGCATCATCGTTTCATTCTAGTGCCATACAACTCCAACAATTCGTTCGGAAGATTTTAACATTTTTTTTACAAAATCATAAACTTTACCAAAAAAAAAATCATGGGTTTTTTTTTTTTTTTTCTTTTTTGAAAATAAAAAATCATTTTTGTTTGAGGTTATAGACGAGTCATTTGCAAAGTCCCTATTTAGGCTAAAGTTGCACTTGCATTTCTTTCAATTAGCGGCGGGAATGAGCTTAGCAAGTTTAAATCTTGTGTACGCATTGTACATGAGTAGTCGTTCTCATCGATGTGTGATAGTTGAAAACGAAACTTTAAAGTAATATTAACCCTTGACTATGGTTTCGTTCAAGTTCAAGTTTTTGCTTAAAAAAAGATAAGAAAGACTTTCTTCTTCCCTCCCCTAGAGTGGAGTACAAAGTTTGCGTAACTTTATTGTTAGAGTAACCTGAAGGAAAAAATGTAAAGAATTATGAAAATATGAAATAATGATCTGAAATATGAAATGAATTGCAGTAAAAGTTCTTTATTCGCGGGGTATATATGCCGCGAATATAGAAACCGTGAATATGGAATGGTAGTTGGATACCTATTGGAATCATTTTATTATTATGTATGTACTTATTAGATCCGCGAATAAAAAAATTTATAGCCGCGAATACAAGAATTTTTTAAATTTTTTTTTAGTCCACGAATAGTGAAAACCCAAATGAAGGAAGCGCGAATAAGAAGCTTTTACTGTATATGATATTTCTTACACTTGGAAACATGAAATTTGGCACTGATCAAGCATTTTATAGGACCTTTCAAGCAAACGGCTTAACAAAATGCATCTCCTCAATGCATACTTGTCGGAATCTCTGAGACGTTGTTCTCGATTTTGAACTGAAAGAAGAGAACATAATCATCTTTCATAGATTTTTAAAACATTAAAAGAGAACCAACCGACTCTCTTTTCTTTACTTAAACCCAGAAGATTAGGACCGAAATTCACGAGAAAATGAAATAATTTAAAGATATGTATCTATGAAATTCGAATATTTCCCGTTATAAATATGAAAAATTATAAAAAATATTTTATATATAGAATAATGCCAATCATTTGCTATTTACATTTTGCCCATACATTTTTCCATAAGTAGTGAAGCACTGTTCACCTAGTGCATGTCTCATCGATGCAGATAATCTTTAAATTGAGGAACTCAAGCTTGGCGATTATCATTGGCTAGAATTTCCCAATTGAGTGTTTGCAACATAACTTGAATTGCTTTTGCTGAGTCGATGGATGGACGGATATCATGTAAAAAAAAAAAAATAAAGTAACATTGTGTTGCTTGTTCATTTCTTGAGCAGTGAACAATACAAATCGATTAATTGTGTTATTGATAGGAGTTGAATATGAACCTTTTCATCAGGCTCTAGCAGCTACTGACAAGCACAGATAGTACTACTCGAACTCGACATGAGTTTTTTATGCCCGGAGTTCTCTAAATTAATCCATTTTTCATATTTAGCTAGACTGCGATGCACGAGAGACTTTATTTATCGTTTAGCCAAAGATAAAATGATATTTGGTACAAAACTTAATATAGTCGTTGTTAGAAAAAATATATATATCCGTTGGTAATACAAGCGCTTATTGCGTCTAAACGTCCAATGTGTAAAAAGAAAGCACAACTGCAGTCTTATATGTATGTCCCATTTCTCTCTGTAAGTAGCCTTACGAACATCTATGAGTCGTAATTCCGGTTTCATATTTACATACCTAATATGTGCTAGTAAATGCGAAATTTCAACTTTTAAGGCCAAAGTAAATAATCTAAAGTAAAATAGATTTTAAAATTAAGAAATTTTTTGCATTAATTAATTTCTAACTTTACCTAATAATTTAGTTTATTTTTTATATCACACTACAGAAGAGATATTTTAGAGAAATTTGGATAAAAAGCTCTATGTGCTCACTACTGTAAACCCTTATAAAAACGCTATCCATAACAGGCAGTTACATGGCTCAGATCATCTTAGAAAATAAGTCGAGAAGCAAAAAAATTTCAAAATTTCACGTTTTTTTTTATCTGTGACAAATGATATCAGTTTTGCCCAAAAGAATGCTTTCTTTCCTATTATGTAAGTAGGAAACCTTACAAATATTCCAAATAGAGATAAATATAATAAATTTTTTACCTTTCTTATGGCATCATATGACGTAGCCTTCATTCTTTGGATTCTCATTGGATCGCATAGCACGATTGCACGACTGCGTTGCATATGCAACAATGTTTCGACAAATAGCAATTAAAAAAATAATAATGGAAAGAGAAAAAGAGGGAACTTTTACAAAAATAAAAATAAAAAAAGAATAATAATAAAAAAAAGTACAAACAATAAGCTTTCAAATTATTATGCGTAAAATCAATACATGAATGAAGTATAAAATTGCACAAAAGCCAATTTCAATGTCTATATACATATATATATATATGTAATCTGAATATGAGAACTATCCGAATACTTTTAAATTCTTTTACTTGTTATTTTTTGATTTTTTTTTTTTTTTTTTTTTGCGTTACACAACGATATCATATATACGAATGTATATATGAACAGTAACCGGTGCGGAAGTAAGGATCAATTTTATTTGTTTTTAATTATCAATAACCGAGTACTACGACGAGTAAAAAGGAAGAATTCATAATTCACAATATATTCGATAGAGATTGACGAGTGTACTGTGCACACAGGCATATATATATATATATATTTATATATGTGTGCGTATATGTAGGTAAAGAAAAAAAAATTTTTTTTTTGTTATTAAGTTTTATTATTTATTTTTAGTTCATATAACTAACTACATACATAGAATCGTAATGCAAGCATCCATATAAGCCAGAGAAGTTGAACGTGGTTGCATGCAGTGAGATGATTATAAAAAAATAACTTTAGTTTCTTAAAGCGTTTTCGAAATTCTCTAAAGATTCAGTGGCATTTTGTATAGATGTATGTCGTAGAATATTTTCAAATGTCGACAACGTTGGCAGCTAACAATTTTATATAACCTATAAGTGTGTGTACAAGTGCTTGCACGGTTCCATAAGCATTATTGTCACATAGGCGGGATTATAAGCCGAAGATGGTGTAATAAAAACGTTATACGTGTTGTAACAAACCGAAATATCTTTGTATTTAATATAAATGCATGTCTTCATTGGAAAATTTTACGAATATTTTTAAAAAGATCGCAACTTCTATTCTTCGATACCGTTATTACGGTTTACTTTTATGAAAGCGAAATGTTTGCATCCGGATTGATAGGCTCTAGGTCTCTCTCTCTCTCCCACATGGCAACAATGTTTTCAGTAGACGTTTCAATATGACCTTCTCTACGAATGATCATTGATTCGGATACAAAATATTTTGGAATGAAACCTTTCTTAAAGACTCCACTCGAAAATGCCTTTGTTTGTTACAAAAATAGCGATTAAAACCAACTCAGAAAATTT